CTAAGGGGTCATGGCGGTAAGGGGTCATGGCGGTAAGGGGTCATGGTGCTAAGGGGTCGTGGTGCTAAGGGGTCATGGCGGTAAGGGGTCATGGTGCTAAGGGGTCGTGGTGCTAAGGGGTCATGGCGGTAAGGGGCCATAGCAATAGCGGCTCACAAAGTTAAGGGACTGTGGCAATAAGGGCTCATGGTGGGTTGCATCAATAGTGTGTATAAATGCTTCTTCTCAGCGTCTGACAGTGAGAAGCGGCACATGGTGTTTGGGAGGCCCCGCCTCCTGCAGCCTCTATTCCAGTACTGCCTCCTGCACCAGCTGGACTTTGTCAGCGCGTACAGCCAGGCTCTCTTCATGCCCCTCTGGACCTCATTCACTCTGTCTAAACCTGTAAGAAGCCTATTTCACTGCAAACTGCACTCTTCCTTACTTTATGTATGAGAACACGTCTGGTAAGGCGGAGCGATCTGTAGCAGAGTGATGTCACCCTCGGGCCCCTGGGCGAGGCCATTAATCATCAGCTGCTCCAGTGACTGTCTGACCCGGCTCCCTCATATATGTATGTCAAATATGTAATTGATTACATCAGGAAACTTTGAATACGCAACATGACGGACATGACAGGTTAAATGAAAATATCGATCAAGCAAGCAAGCAGCACCCTGTTATATGGAAACGACATAAAATTTACCTTAACGGAGTTTCATTCATTGTTGTTGTTATCTGAGGTCATATTATGTTAGAAACGTTATTGTAGAATGAACTGCATTTTGCATGTCATTTGCCTTAAATTTATTTATTTGGATCTTATCACCACATGAATTACCACTGAATCCGGTCTACAGGCAGATCTGGACCCCCTTCCTGAGGTCATCGAGAACTGCTTAAGAGCTGACGTGAGGATTGCGCCTGACGGCAGCCCCAGCTGTGACCAGTACGCCGTGGCAAGAAACGTCACTCTGGCCTTCCTCTACCCACCCAGTACAAGACGCCTCACAAGGGTCCCAAAACCACACCGGTATGGCAGGTTCCTGCAGACAGCTGCAAATGACGCTTGACCTGTTTCCTGTGCTTTTTTTTTGCCTGCAGACCTTAACAGCGTGGCAGAGGGCCAGTATGACGGCCTGCTCATGTCCAATGTTGTTCCCATGTATCCAGGCTTCAAGAGTAAGGTCACGCCATCTGATGTCATCTGGTGTAACATCACCTACCAGTCATCCGTGCCTCATTTGTTTTCCCTATCAGTCACTAACTCCATCATATGTACTTCTTCCAAAACCAACTGTAATAAAATAAAAGCAAACAACAAATATTTTCCATTACCATTTAAATATCATTTAGCTAAAAAGTAATGATTTATCTTAAATTACCATGAAAAAAACCTTATTACAATGCATTATGTAATAACTTGACAGTGTCAATGAAGAATCCATCTTGATTGTTTATTACATAATGCACAGTACTACACTTTCATAATTAAAACGTGCAACTCCAGCATTTTGTAATAACTGCTGCAACATGTAATAATTTATTACAAAATGCACAGAAATGTATTACATATTGCTTTCAAGCTGTCTATTACAAAATGCGATGGAATATTACAAAATGCAAGTATACATTACATAATGAAGTGAAAATTTGTTACATATTGTCAGGTTACTACACAATGTGTTGTAACACACCTGGAACATGTTTTGCCCACTTTAAGCACATTAATACATAATGTGTACTGTGTATTCATGTAGAATCCTCTAAAGATAAAGACAGTTTATCCCTAGAAATAAACCTTCTAAGCCTTAAACTGAAAATAAAAAACAAGAAAATTAAGCAGAAATATATCTTTCAAACAAAAACAAATAACTAATAAACCACACTGAAAGCTAACTAAAACTAAAATGGATTTCAAATGAAAATTGAAAATAATATCAAAAACAAAAGCTACATTTAACACTAGAAAGACTGACTGGGTCAATTGACCCAAATCAAACAAAATCACTGCTATTTCTCATTGAAGTTCTTGCTACAAAAATCTGAAAAA